CATAGGGTTTTCAGAGGCCTGCTATTTCAGAAGTGGGTGGCCAATCCTTCTTCCTAGTCTGTCTTAATCTGAATGTTCAGATTTAGAGGAGTATCCTGAAATTACTACCGTTATATAATCTTCTCTCCTCATCTTCCTTGTCATTCTCTCCTGAAGTCACTTGTTCTCAGCTTCCATTTAGAATTGGGCAATTTTTCAGAAACAATGGAATGAATGGCTTTTCTTGAAAAATAGAATGCTGTGGGAAGATGGGTCACATTCTTGTAGCAGTGGAAATCAAAGATGAACCTTGTAAGCTACACAGAGTATTGCATCCTCCAGTTTGGTACAGTTGATATTTTTTTTATTGTTGTCTCTTTCAGAATGTTTGCAATTAATTTAAGTGACTTCCTGGGTAACTATCATCAGCATCCTCTGCCAGAGCTAATTCCCACGAGGTCAGACATACCTCCACTTTCCTAAGATTTTACTAGTCCTAATACCAATTGTCACTCCCAAAGTACTTCTAATTCTTTGCTAGATTTAATAACTTACTGCAATGGCCACACAGAACTCACAGATCATACTCAAAGTTAGGGGGTTTATTAGGAAAGTTATTGTGTGGTGGTGTACCATTGAGTAGAGTACACCTTGACTCCCAGCACTCAGAAGTACAGCTTTTGGCTCATGACAATCGTGACATAAACAATAGATCTGAACCTTGTCCTGTTCACACCATTCTCATCATCTCTGATATACATGAGCCCATTGCTGCAGTCACCAAGTAAGGCCATCTAGTTGCAGGTCTTCCTCTCACCAACCTTCCACCTTTCCGAGCCTCATGTCCATCTCCAAGGTCTAGACGCTCCTAGCAACATGCCCCAAGTGTGTGCGACAAAGTTTCACCATCCTTGCCTCCAAGGGGCACTCTGGCTGCACCGCTCCAGGACATCTATCCGTTTGTACTTTAGGCAGCACATGGGATATTCATGACTGTTCTCCAGCATCACAGTTCAAAGGCATTGGTTTTTCATTTTCCGTCATCCTTAGTCATAGTCCAGCTCTCAGACACATTACAAGTGATTGAAAATACCATGGCCTGATCAGGTACATCTTAGATTTCACACAATGAAAGACGTAGTCTTTCCATTTTTTGCAGCAAGAGCTTCAAGTCCTCCTCACTTTCAGCAAGCAACGTTGTTTCATCCGCACAATGCAGATTGTTGATGACCCTTTCTCCAATCCTGCTGCTACGTTCTTCTTCATAGAGTCCATCTTCTCAAATGATACACTTTAGGATAAAAAACAACTCAGGATACAATTATTCAATTGGGACAGCCTCTTTCAGCCATGCTCCAAAATAAGCCTTGGTGTCTCAGACTTGGCCTATATCCTACTCACAAAATGTGACAAAGTTCTTTTTGCTCTGCCAATATGAGTACCCAAAAGCAGGTCCCCAAGCCTCCTGCCTGAGGGCTCCCAGCTTTCTCAACTCCTGTCTCTACTGCTCTGTTTCTTACTGGTCTCATGGTCCTACTGCTGCTGCTATCATGGTTGTTTCCTTACCTCCACTTTTCTGGTATTATTTTCAGTCTCCTGTGTGGAGGAATTTTAGCAAAAGGAGCTTAGATCCAAAGGGCACAGTTAACCTCTGACAGTCAGCCCCTGGCTTTTCTCTCTTGATGGCTCTGAGATCCACCTTCTCACCTCTTGGATGGCTAATTTTCAGCTTAATGAGGTGGTCAGACTAGTCAATTCCCACATTAAGATTTCATACACTGTATTTGCATGATTGCATTCAAAAGTGTCATGCCTATTTTTTATATTCTTAGCGAGCTACTCAATTCCCTTGGGCCACAATTACCTCACATTTGCACAGTCTTCCCACTGGGAGTTACAAAGACTAGCCACACTAAACAATTTACAACCTTGTACACTTTAAAGAGATTGTTTGCCTAAGATTTGCCCAATGCAAATCCAAGCATATTTGCCCAATGCAAAGTTAGTATTACCAGTCTGATTCTAAAGAATTGGCATTTTAACTATGAAATGTTATTCTATGTCCCAAACAAAGCATAATGTTTTTATAGCGTTCATATATGCAGGACTTGAAAATCTTCACATACAGAAGAAATGAGACTCAACTCTATAGAGAAGGGCCCACCTCTTACAAGTCACTGATTTCTTCTTTCTCTGTTCATTACAGGAAACTAAGCAACAATCACTTTACTTCAATCCAAGGACACACTTTCAATGGAACAAAACTGGATGCTGTGTAAGTTGTAGGTAGCATCTTCACCTACCCCACCCACTCCACATCCCCTCCAAGAAGATCAGAGTTCCAAGTCTTTCTTATTTTTAAACTTTGTGTGATATGCCTTTTCTGAAACACACTGGAAAAACTAAACTTGAATAGCTAAAGAAAACTATGTTATTGTTATGTGTCATTGAGTTGCCTGCTACTCATAATAGCCCTATATGTACAATAGCTCTGAACCCTGCCCTATCCTGAGCCAGTCTGACTCCAACACGCCTACCCTCATTGCCCCAGATACTATATTAATCCATCCCATCCAAAGTCTTCCTCTCCTATGCTGTCTCCTCACCCTTGTAAGCATGATGTCCTTCTATGAGGACTGGTCCCTCCTGGCCACATGCCCAAAGTACTTAAGGCCTGAAACATCATCTCAAGTGTTTGCATGAGGGAGTGAGGTTCTGGACAGAATAGGCAGGGTGGAAGGGGATGCTGCTGGTGCTAGGAAAGGGAAGAGACAAGACATATGCACCAAGTGGGTGGGACAAGGAAGAACACGGAATCTATTGTTTACTTCTATAATAAGGAAATGCTTTCGTCTGTTCTTTTCAGCTATTATTCTAAAGCTGGGATCCAAATTAAGTCAGACTAGGAAGATGTATTGACCATGCACTTCCAAAAAAACAAACCTTCCAAAAATCTATGTACAATTAAAAAAAATTCTGATGTGACGTTTTAGATATTCACCATTTTAGGCACTGAAGGTAAGATTTCAGAACACTGTTGTTGTTAGATGCCATCACGTAGAGTACGACTCATAGCAACCCTATGAACAACACATCTGAATCACATCCTATTCTATGCCATCATCACATCTCTGATACATTTGAGGTCATTGGTGCAGTCACTGCGTTAATCCATCTCAATGCGGGTCTTCTTTTCTTTTGCTGCCCCTCCACCCTGCCAAGCACGATATCCTTTTACAAGGAATAACCTTTCCTAGCAATACATCCAAAGTATGAAAGATGAAGTTTTATCACCCTTGCCTACAAGAAGCCCTCAGGCTGCACCTTTTCCAAGACATTTTCGCTAACATTTCACCAACTTAAAAAGTCTCAGTTCTTCTGTCTATCTGTGTTTCATGCAAAGGCTTGCCTGTGTGGGTCACAATAAATTGTGGCTAACCTTGAGGAGAATGGGAATCTCAGAACACTTGATCATACTTATATAAAACCTATATTTGGACCAAGAAGCAGTGCTCAGAACAGAGCAAGGAAATACTGCATGGGTTCAAAATCAGGAAAAGAGTGTGTCAGGGATGCATCCTGTCCCCATACATTTCAATCTGTATGCAGAACAGATCATTTGGGAAGCACGGCTTTATGGGGAGGAAGTGTGGCATCAAGATTGGAGGAAGACTCAATAACAATCTACGGTATGCGGATAACACAACCTTGCTTGCTGAAACTGGAGAAGACCTGAAGCACTTGCTGCAAAAGGTCAAGGACTGTAGTCTTCAATATGGTATATTTCTAGGAGAGGCTATTCATTGGAGAAGGACATCATGCTTGTTGTGAAGCATGAAAGGTGATAGGTTTGTGAAAGAGAGGAAGACTCTCAATCAGATGGACTGACACAGTGACTGCAGCAGTGGGATCAAGTATGTCAGAGCTTTTGAGGATGGCACAGGATCAAACATGGTTCAGATCTGCTGTTCTGGGAGTCTCGAGGAGTTGTCCTTGACTCAATAGCACTTACCAACAACAATATCACCAAAGAAGGCATTCATCCCTACCTGCACCAATCCCTAAATTGGTGCAATGACTGCTCATTTTTTGTGACTTCAGAAAGTCAGCTGACACTTGCTTTGACAGGCTGATTTTCATGCTCTTCACTGGGCCTTTGGAATATAAACAGATCTCTTACAACTAGGGGCAGGGGCTTACATTCTACAGAAGCATCTCTCAACCAAAATCAGTGTGAGCAAGACTTGGAAATTGACAAGGAACTTGACAAGGTCTAACTTCAGTAGATACTTGTCCTAGCTCCAACTCTAAATCCCAAAATATTAATCTCAATCCAATGGAGAACCATGAAGTCTTCTTCAATTATCTTATTGGAAACTACATGACTGTGTGTGTAAATATTCATCTATTATATATATAATAGAAATGGATATGTTTTTTACTTTTTGTTGCAGTTTGAATGAAAATTTACAGAATAGACAATTATTGCTTTTGATCATTTATAGATATTTTGGTCTATGACATTGTTTGAATCCCCATATTGTAACAGTACACTTCCTACTTTCTCTCTATGGTTCCTACTTCCATCATTTCCCTTTTTATTGATATTTGAGTTAAAGCTAACAGAGCAGATTGGTATTCCATCTAACCATTCATGCATATTTTGTTTTAAAACATTAATACAGTCCCCATGTTGTGACAGCCCACTTCCCACTTTCTCCTTGTGCTTTACTTCTTATAATTTCCCTTTGTATCTTCTGAGCTTTGCGCTTGGGGAAAGTGCTACCCATTTGATTTTGTATGGTTGATTATACCAAGGACTGAATATCTCCCTGATGAAATTGTTCACTTTATATGCTTGTCTACTTTTTAGCTAACAGTTATCCTAGAGGGAAGTTATTTCCAGCCTCAATTAGTGACTGAGGGTGTAGTCTTGAGAGTTCCACCAGTCTCTGTTGTATGTGCCGTCGAGTCGTTTGCCACTCATAGCGACCCTACGTACAACAGCCCTAAACCCTCCTCTATCCTGTGCCAATCGCATGGCCTCTGACACACCCATCCCAATTACCCCAGTCACTGAATCAATCCACCTCATAGAGAGTCTTCCCCTCCTGCACTGTCCCTCCTCTTTACCAAGCATGATGTCCCTCTCCAAGGACCTGTCTCTCCTTACAACATGTTCAAAGTATGTCAGACGAAGCCCCAGAATCCTTGCCTCCAAGGAGTAGCCTGGTTTAACTCTCTCCAGGATGAATCTGTTTGTTTTCTTGGCAGTCCAGGGTACATTCAATACTTTTCTCCAGCACCACAGCTCAAAGGCATCAGTTCTCCTTCTATCTTCCCTAGTCATTGTCCAACTCTCTGATGCATAACAAGTGATTGCAAAGACTATGGCCTGTATCAGATGCACCTTAGTCTCCAGAGAGACACCATTGCTCTTGAATACTTTAGAGAGGTCCCTAACAGCAGACTTTCCCATCGTGATACATGTTTTGATTTCCTGGCTGCTGGTGCCAAGAGTGTTGACCGTGGAGCCGAGCAAACTGAAGCTGTGAACAATCTCAATCTCTTCACCATCCATCCTGATGCTGCCAATTGGTCCAGTGGTGTGATTTTGAGTTTTGTCTCATATTTATCTTCCTCTCTTCCCAAAACTCTCTGTTGTATTCCCTTTAGAGCATTCAGCATGGCAGGTGGGCACCATCTGGTTTTTCTGGTTTCAGTGTCCTGAAGGTTGGGGTTCAAAAGGTCTATTTGGATCATGGACTAGTTCTTTCTATAGAACTTTGCTTTCCCCCCCTCTTTTTTTGGTTCCAAACAGGGAGAGACCAATAGTAGCACATTAGATGGTAGGTCACAAACTTTTAAAACTCACCACATTAGGTGAGTTTATTATTGTTTTGCGCCATCAGATTGGAATCAACTCATAGCGGATCCTCCAGCAGATTTTCAGAGGCAGTGAATCACACAAGACATCCGTCTCCGGCAGAGAAGCTGGCAGATTTAAACCAGACTTTAGGGTACAGAACACTGTCTTCAGAAACTCTTTATGCCAATTGACCTTGATGTTCCAAATAACTATCAACTTGAGGCCACATGACAATCAGCAACTCATTCCTCAGAGTATTTCATTAGGATTAAAAAAAATTTAACATCATTTTGTCTTCCATTGGTTCTACCACATACATGAATGTATTTATAACACATTCAGATAATGCATGTAGAAATATCATCCGCAAAATCTTCGGCACAGGATTGGGCAGGGTTTCAGTCTGTTGTGTGCATGGTAGCTATAGGCCATATTTGGCTCAATAACAATAATAACAAACCTATGTATGGTCAAAGGTATAGTATTGTTGCAGTTAGGCACTGTTGAGGTGACTCATAACGACTTTCAACAACAGATTTGTACCTGCCCTCTTCCAGTGCCATCCTCATCATTTCTAATATACTTGAGCCCATTTTTATAGTCACTGTCAATCCATCTCATTGAAGATCATCCTTAAGTAAGGGGTGTTTTTAATTAAGCCCAAAGCAATTCTAAATGTCAAATTCCCCTTAGTCCTTTCTCATATACTCTCAAGAAAAATGTCAATTTCTATTTGATTGACTCAGAAATAGCTGAAAAGTTTGTTCAAAAAAAAATAAATAATGCCTAGAACAGGATGTTGGCAAAAAGATACCATTGGCATGGACTTCTAGGTTAGTTAAACTTTTATATCAGGTTTTATGGTCCTATGTGCCCTATGTCTGAGAGCTTATATAGACTGGTTAAGTCATACTGATATATTGTTTAACTAGTCAAACAAAGGATAGTATTTGTAGTATCTTCTCACATATAAACTAGTTAATTTGTAGGGCATTCCTACTATGAAACAACTAGATGGGACAGAAAGCATACTTATTACTGCATATTTCCAAGATAGGGAAATAAATTAACAAAACAAGGTCTAAAATTAAAGACCAGCACTGCAAAAGACCATTATTGTAGGAGTACAAGGATTCAAGGAGGGGAAAAGGGGTGCTTAATCATAGGGTCACACAATTTGATGGATGGAGGGAGGGATGGGTAAAGGAAAGAGGAAAGATCTGGCGTGTAAAACAATGTGTAGAACTTTGTAAGTAAACCAGTATAAAGTAATTTAAAAAAGAAAACTAAAGTGGTTAGTCCTCATCAAGGGTGGAGTTCCCTCATGGGCAAGTACTAGCACTGGCAGTGCCAGGAAACTGGAATGTAGCACAGTGAGGAGGCATCTGAGGGTGGTGTGAACCGGA